TGCTTAAACTGTTTACAATTTTAGGATGAATAATTTGGAGGGTGTGGGGGTGGAAGAGCAGGCTGCTTGAGAAAATTGCAGGCACCTGTACTGCCTTCTTTTCCTCCATTTCAGCCTTTTCCCCAGTGTCAGCACAGCAGGGTTGCCAATAAAGCAGCAACCTTGACACAGGTGTCGGAGGAGACAGGAGGACATGCGTATTTTAGAGCTCTGCAGCCCCCAGCAAACAGAGTGCAGCAGCCAAACAAAAGAAGGTGTTTTTCCTTCAGAAGGAGTGGATGGGCCAAAAGAGAGAAAAAGAAGTATAGAGGCCCAGCAAGACAAAGCATAACATATAAAAGGTGCAACAGCTCTGTATGCCGGCCATTAACAGAAGAAGAAATCTCAGAGAAAGGGGACTTAAGACAGAACAGGCTTAAGAAAGAAACGTTGATGCATACTAGCATAGCATACAGCGTAGTATATAGGTAAGTGTAAGAGAGTTTAGGATATTGAATAGTAATATTATAGAATATAGTAGTTGTTGTAAGAATAGTGCCATAGGCATAGTATAGAGATAGCCATAGAACAGAATATAGGAAGCACCCACATCATTTTTATATGTTTGTTTTTACAGAATAAGACATCTTCCTAACCCTTATAGGGAGATATAAAGAAACCAGCTGTCCAGGGTCCAGTGCTTTTGTGTCTCTCTTGAGACTGGGTCAATCTAATTGGGCATGGTTTAAAAAAGAACCCGTGACAGGGGGGTCTCCTGGAGTCTTAAGAAATCTCGTCTATGATTAACTTAATATTCAGCCTGTATGACTGTAGGTATTCCTTCAAGGATTGCAACTTGGTCTTTTGAAGAGAAACACCAACATTATGGCCTGATTTTCACCACATGAAGTATGCTTAATTTAGGCTTGGTTGTTATATGTTGTGGCTTAGGTAATAAAGCTATTGCTTAACATACCATGTGCACCTAGTCTTTGCATTGGAATGACAACTCAGTAGATAGAGCAATTTTGCTCAGATCACAAAGGAATAACCCAAGCCAGAAATGTCAATCAAACTCTTGGCCATCACATTCTGCCTCCAACTAAAGCTTCTGAAATTGTGTTTTGAGGTAACTTAGACATCACTCCTAATAAGATAAATGAGAATTGTTAGCTGAGGATATTTCACTTAACTTTTGAACTACATTTTAGCTCTATCCTTCTCTGACTTTCTCTTTTTGTAGAAGTTGTATTAGACACAGGATGAGGGGCAGTGGCAACTTTTAATGGTTACAATGATGCTTTCTCATAAGGCATGCAGCAAGTTGAATTTCAGCTCTGTTTCACAAAATGTATTTTCAATATTATAGGATTTTTTTAAAGTTTTCCTATTAGGCAAGAAATTGGAGCATATGCCCTGTTCCTTGTGCTTTAATGTCCTTTTTTGCAGCTGAGATTATAGAATTAAAATTTTAAAAAGGAAGTGATTTAGTCTAGAGTCAACCAGTGGGAAGAGGACTGAAGCCACCAAATGGCCTAATTCAGCTAGTATGAATGTAGGTACTTCTTCAAGGATTGTAAGTTAAATAAGTGGTCCATCATCCATAGACATCATTAACAAGCTTGACCAAGATGCCTCTGGGACCACAAAGTAGGCAATTAAAAATTAACATAGTTAAATAAGTGTTTTGAAGAGAAACACCAACACAATCACTCTTCCAGAAAGAGGTTCTGAGAACTTCCAACCCAAAGGCATGCGGCAGCTGTTGATGCTTAGGAAGGAAGGAGCAGAGGGAAAACATAGGAGGGTTATAAAAAGAAAAATATCACTCTCTTTGGTTGAATTTGTATAGCTGGTCAGTGGATGGTTTTACTGCTATTGTTTAAAGGTAATTCCACATCATTTTATTGCTTTTGTTATGTTCTGGGTGTAAAGTATTTTAGATGTCCAAACATCCTTCCTGGCACATTTGAGGATATCAGAGAAGGATGCCTAGTAGATTGAGATGATGTGGAGTCAGTAGAAAACCAATGGTTAATCCCTCTGACCCAGTTCAAATGACATTATTTCAGAAACTATTTACTGTCTAGTCAGCAAATGAAACAGCAACCCAAGCACCAGTTGACTGAACATGGGTGTGGACTTTACCACAAGAGACTTGAACTTTTCTTTCTGTGTTTCTAGAGAAGTTTGAAGGACCAGCTCATCATGGTGAGATGTGTGCCTTGATGACACATCACCCTGCAGGTTTATTATTTATAAAATGTATCTACTGCTTCAAGCTGAAGAAATTCTATGCAGTGTATATAAAGATCAATAGTCATATGATACCACAGCAAAATACAATTAAATATCATCCATAGACATCATTAACAAGCTTGACCAAGATGCCTCTGGGACCACAAAGTAGACAATTAAAAAGAATTTGGCAGTTTTCCTAGCTAAAATTCAAATGTCACCAATCACAGGAAGAATTACCACCAATCACCATACAAAATATGAGCCCCAGCATGCCTTCCAATCAATTTTTTTCCCCATCCTAGTCTCCAGAAGACTGCCTGGACAAATCCCTGCAGTTTTCTTGGCAAGATTTCAGAAGTGGTTTGCCCTTGCTTCCTTCCTAGGCAAAGAGAGAGTCACTGGCCCAAGGCCACCCAGCTGGCTTCATGCTTAAGGCAGGACTAGAACTCACAGTCTCCAACCAAATACCTTAATCACAACACCAGACTGGCTCAGGTATATCCATGTAATTTCTCCAAAATGATTAACCTGTCAATCAATTGACCTATTGACCATTAGGTGGCAGCAAAGAAATAAACGTTTTGTTTCTCCTGACTGTCATCTAGTGATAGTTCTAATTTGTGCAGCCAAGATGTAATCAATGGGTAAGTGTTGCCTGAAGATGATTCTTGGGTCACCTCACAGCATACATACCACTCTGATTGTTCAAAAGGGGAGGAGAAGGAAAAATGTGGCCCTATGTGGAAGTCTGTACTTTCTATGATGGAGTGAAATGATTATAAGAAAATTCCATGAGGAAAAGAAATGAGGACCCAGGGCTTTCCCAAGCCCAGCAGCCCCTGGGAAGGGAGTTTCCTGTTATGCAGGCTTCCAAAGCACAAGAGTGGAATCCTTTCAAATACATGCATTAAGCCAGGGACAAGTCAATCAATTTCAAGGCTTCATACTCTCCAGTTGACCAACCCATTAAGAAAAAGTGTTTGTAGAAGCCAGGATTCTGGTCTCCCTTGCAACCAAACAACGCGTAGATGGAAGGTAGTGCTCTATTTCTAGGGAAAATACAACTTTTATGCTGAAACACTTTAAACTTGTTTAGCCTATCTACCTGAGGACTGGGCTGCCTACGAGATGGAGGCTGATTTGCCTCAGCAAATGGAAAGTGGGTTATCTTCACACCATGGTAAGCAAGCTGTATGGAGGACTACTTAAAATCAAGCAGGAGATGGGTAGATCAACAATCCACATGCTAGGTGACTAAGAGTGGGGGAAAGGAGAAGAAAAGGGAGAGAGAACGTGTTGCTAGTCGGGCTGACATTATGTAGATTATGATAATTGGGCCATAAGAATGGACTGATCAGGTATGAGTGAAAATGGGATACATGAAAGAAAAGGCTGGGCCAATCTCTGTGATACTAAGTGAGCAAGATATGACCAGAACACAGGTTAGCACAAAGAAGGCCATACTGAAAACAGCTGGGATAAAAGGGCTAAGCAGTAGCCCCAAATGGGTTGCAAATAATGGACTAAGCCTTCTGATGCTGTGCTAAAATTGGGTGCAAAGTTGTCTAAGAGGAGTCTATATCCATGTTCCAGTAGATGACTTTAATTATGAGTATCATGAGTATGTCTGTATGAGACTATGTGCATGCATAGCTGTATTTTCCTGACACTTTGTCTGAAGAAAGCACCATCTTTATGTCCTTTCACAGAGATCAATCATGAAAGAGATCTCGAATGTCAAACAAGAACATTATACAAGCAACCAACCAAACAAGACTGTTTAACCCCATCCCAGTTTTTCCCTTATCCCCAGACATTTTAGATCTGCCTTATCTACCTTTGGGTTGCCGTCGTTGGTGATAGATGTGTAGAGCTCCACCTTTATCCACTCGTGTTACCACTTGAAAGTCACTACTGTTGAAGCGATTGACTCGGATGACACTAGTTTTCTGCTGAGTATTGGCGTTGTCAGAATTGGTGGCATACAGGTAGTTCTCAAAGACAGTCAAGCCATAGAGATGCTCTATCTACAAACAACAAGTGTGATTAAAAAAAAACTGATGAGACTATTGGGTGGAAATGAAGATCTTCCTTCCTTTGCTTTGTATCTTCTCTCTGATTCTGACACATCATGGTTCAGATTCCAGGCATTCAACAAAAGAAGAGTATCAGGTAGTCTTTTAAAATTCTTATGATTCTCTATATTACTTATAGTCCCTGTACCATGTACTCCCATCATTCCACAACCCTGAGAGACAGGTATGGCCAAAAAATGAGCTTCCTTGCTAAACAAGGACTTGAATCTGGATATTCCCTGAACAAGTCTAATCTAATACAGTACAACATACTGGCTAACTTTCCTAACTGCAGCTGTGTATGAGAGAACAGATGCCCTGTTTTACGAAAACAATTCACCAGCTCCTTAGAGCCTACAGCCCCCAGTATTAAGACAAGCAACTTTGGACCAATCCCCATCAACCTAAGGCAGCATGGTGAGGGACGGAGGGACTGTGGGAGATGTAGCACAAAACATCTGGAAAACCCCTCATTTTATGTCCACCCTCTTCAGAATCCTACACATCAGGCTATAGTTATGCCACTACCTTGGGACTGCATACTCAATACAAGTTGAAGTACTGCCAATGCTGCGATTCCCAAAGATAGGGATGCACCAGATGGCTCGAGAGCTGTACATAACAGCATCATATTCCACAAGAACTATCTCCCCTGATCCCACTCCCAAGGAGCACTCACCAAGATGCCCTGGATGATTGTGTGTCGATTTTTTCCTTCATAATCCACCACTTCGATGTAGTCAAGGTAAGCATCAGCCCAGTAAACAAGCCGGTTGACCAAGTCCAAGGTGATACCATGGGGGAAGACTATCTTGGTGTCCACCAGTTTTGTACGGTTCTGCCCATCCATATCACAGCGTTCCACCTTTGGTATCTGTCCATAGTCAGTGAAAAAAACCTTTCTATAAGGAAAGGAGAAAAGACATGAGGAGGTCTCCAAATATAAATGAAAAGGAGATGCATAAAATAAATAAAGGGGACTAGCAGTAGCAATATATATTCATAACTAATCTTATTAATGAGATCATATATAAAACCACAAAAATGTATAAATGCAACATACACAAATGCTAGGGATAGACATTATATAAGCGCCATAAATATGCACGTGCAAGCAGAAAAACTGCTATATGTGTTTGCACATGAGCTACCTCTCCATAGATGTAATGGGAAGACTGGGAATATTTTGGTGTTCAAGTTCAATGACGTGTTTAAAATTTAAGCTGACTTATTGTCTATATGATACACGTGCTGTGTAACTCAGCTGTTATTTCTTTTTTCTCTCTTCCCCCTCCCTCTTTTTTACCATACTAAAGCAAAAAAAAAAAAAAACCCACCAAAATTCAAGAATCAAAAGTATTATATAAGTTAAATAATTAAAAGAACTCTCATAAATGTGGACTGTAACTCGCTGAGTGGATTCCTGGCTATGCTCCTAGAACTCTAACTTCTGCCTTTCTCCAAGCTCTGCTAAAACATAGACATTTGTTCCTAAGTAGTAGCAGTATCACTTGGTTGTCTTCTAATTTACGTATACAGTACCACATTCATTCTAGACTCTGCTGATAAGGCCTAACACCCAAGGTAGTCTTCACCCCTCTCCTTGGTGTGTGTGGTGTGTGTGTGTGTGTGTGTGAACCACTAATCATGCAAACAGATCTAAAATAAAAACAGAAACTGGGATAATGGCTGGCATCTATCTAAAGAAGGGGAATCTGTACAATTCTACAAGGCAGCTGCTGGGGAAGGAAATTATTAAAATTCCCACTCGCGCTACAAAAGCAGAATTCTATTCTGAACAGTGCTATTTTACACATATTGTGAAGAACTTCTGTTTTTCCTCAGATGTGAAAATCATGAGGTAGATTGGGCAGGATTTACAATATCCAGCTTTAATTAAACCACCCATGAAATCTCTGAATTGGAAAGTCTTTAATTAAACATAGAGACACATAAAGGCCTATGCACTTCGGTGTAAGCATATATATAATGCACTGCTGGGCTGCAATCTTGTGTGAATTGGAAGTATACACCAGTGAACTCAGTTGGACTTTTGATTAAATGCAGATAAGACAGAGCTGAAAAGGAGAACTCACTTCAAAGCTATTCTTTCTACCAATGGATTATGATCCTCCAAGTCATATCTGAAGCTTAAGCATATTCCCTGAGCGCTGCCAGGCCAAGAGTTTTCTTCCAACTAGTACGTTTAAATCAGATTTCTCCAACGACATGCCCTTCAGATGTGCTGGCCTTACAACTTCCAGGCAGTATGGCCAAGATTTATGCTGGCTGGGAATTCTAGGACCTGTATGCCAAAATATCTGGAGGCAGCAGGGTGGCTGCTGAAATAATATGGTTATGTATTTTAATGTGTGTGTGTTTTAATTACTGGTAAGATAGGACTGCTTTGTATAAGTCTTCAAGGAAGTCAGGGAATTATCAGGGAATTATCCACTCAGGTGGTAGAGCTCAGGCTTTGGAAGGGGAAAAAAAGGGGCTACACCTCCAGCCTCCTTCAGCTACTGAAGAATTAAGAAATAGATTAAACTGTGTTTTGCTAAGCCAATTTTTCATATTTAATATGCAAATAACCTTTACATGCAGAGAAAGCAAGTTACACACTGATTTATTTTTTAAAAGCTGGCCTGCATTTGGGTGTGCAGTCCTTATAATAAATTTGCCCTTATGGCTTTATAGTTTAAAAAACTGAGCAGCCTAATCATACGTTCAGCTGGAAAGTAGCCCTACTGAATCCAATGGGATTTAATTTCTAGTGGTTGGGATCACAACTTTACCCTCAGATCAGATTGCCTTGCTTCTGTGTTCTATAAACTGCAATCCTATACTCACCTAGCGGGGAGTAAGTTCAATGAATTTAATTATGAGCAAATACGTGTTAAGTCGTGTTTTTAGGATTCAGGAGTCAGCTGGGAAGGTTGTCAGCAAAGAAAGGAAAGTAGAACAGGACTTTTTGTTTGCTCCACTCCAGAATGCAAGGCATCCCGTTTCCATTTGCCCATCCTCAGAAGTGAGGATTAAAATGAAATTGCTACAGCCAATAGCCAGGGGAAAGTTGAAAGTAACTACCCCCCCCCACCATGACCAACATTTAGCAACCCATTTAAAGATGAGTGTGGATGGCAAAAGTGAGTTAAGAGAGAGAAAGGCAAAATAAACACTAGATGGCAGTCAATGGTGGGTACATGTGGCCATTTCCAAATACCGTTATCTTTCAGACTGCAACAGGAGAAAACAAAATCAGCAAATTCAGAAGGGGCCCTCCTGAATATTGAGTATCCACAGAACAATATGACTGAAACAGAATGCTGCAAACACACACATGCTGCAAACACACACACACACACACACACACACACACACACACACCCCTAGTGTTAAAGGAAGAACGACAGTATCTTTGGGTTTAGGGAAAGCATCTCAGAAGGCAGATGATTATAGCCATGTACAAGTGGACCTCAAGTTTAGCACAATGAAATACTGAAGAAATGCATCAAAATGCTTTTATTCTACATGTCCTTACCCTCATCACCATTATCCTCTCTTCCTCCTATCCCCCTTCCCCCTTTCATGCAAAGTGGTATCTCTCCACTGTGCAGAGATCAAGGCCATAACTGAGTTGAATAAATAAATACTTGAAAGTGAGCCCACTGGAGAACCTACTTGTGAATGAACATATTTAGGATCTAACCATAAACAGCTTGCCAAGGTACCTGTGGACAGAAAGCTCAGCAACACATTATGGGCTAATACAAGTAGTAAAGAAAATCCAGAGAGCCAGGATTTGGATTGGAGAAATTGTAGCTATGATAGTTAAATACTTCCCCTGAACCTTCTTCCCAAACCATCATTACCACCCATCCTCAAACAGGATCTCAAAGGTACATCTGCATGATAAAATATGTGTCTAGATCATCAGAGAAAGAGATGAAAAAAGCACTGAAGGGATGTTGATTTTCAAAGAGAAGCAACAGGAAGAGATGTATTAAACCCCCAAGCCCCACTTTTCTATAAATGTTTTTATATATAATTTTTATTAAAACATGTAATAATAATAATAATAATAATAACAACAACTAATACAACTGAAATAGAACAAAGAGAATGAAAAGGAAAGAAATAAAAGAACTAAAAGTGCAATAAGAAAAAGTAGAAGGAAGTAGGAAAAAAGAAAAAGAAAGAAAAATATAAAGATATAAAGAAGTGGCTTCTGATATTCTTCACAGCAGTTATAAGTACAATTATATTTTAACTTCTCTGTCTCTAAAGTTACAGCATGGCTCTCTTCTTTCTATAATCTATCCTGTCTAATCATCAAAGCCATAAATCATGATTTTTTTCTGTTTCATGCAAAAAGTCTTTAAGGGGTTTCCAGTCACCAATAAATGTAGATATTGTCTTTTCTCTAATCAAAGAAGACAGCTTGTCAATTTCAGCAAGTTCCATCAATTTCACCAACCATTCCTCCATGGTGGGCAATGTCAAATCTTTCAAACTCTGGGCATACAGGCTCTACTTTCCAATAAATGACCCTCTCTTAGCCTGGTATTGAAGTGAAGAAGCAAGTTTCTTGTCTAATGTATCATTGAACTCTGCCAGAGATTGAATTGGACCTCTCAACCTCATCTAAATGCTCCAACCACTAGGCCATTCTGAAATCCCCAGTTCTTATGACTGTAATAACACTAGAGAAATTCTGACACAAAGTATTTTGTTGCCTGAGACAATCAGCAAATAATACTGCCTCATATCTGATGCCAAACAAGTTATTGTACCATCTGAAACATAACGTCACAAAAACACCTCCCCTCCTCGTCAGGAGTAAAAATATAGTAGTAATAAATTTATAACAATTTAACTTTATATAACTAAGAATTGTATTGGAGTGCCCGAGATGCTGACCTTATTCTGCTTTATGGCAGGACCAATCCTGGTATTAAGTATTGTATAGATCCCAGAAGTGATGCCATTGTTGCTCTAGCAGAAACGTGGCTTACAACAATCTAATTTATGTAGAGAAATGCAAAATACACTAAAGATTAATGAGATTTCTCAGGACTAGCTTAGAAAGGGCCACAAGCTAGTGGGGATGTTGTTTAAGGTGAGATGGAAATTCATGAGAGAATTGATGTTAACTGAGTCTTCAGAACAAATCTGAAGGAAGTACAGTAGTTTTACATGCAAGGAGAGCACAGGTCTCCACCATAGGGCACAACTAAATGGAAGCAGAAACAAGTGGAAGAACCAAACAAATGAACAAGAGAAACTTTCCCATGGGCATAAGAAGATATAATCAATCAATACTTGGCTGTAGATCCTGTGTGTGTGTGTGTGTGTGTGTGTGTGTGTGTGTGTGTATAGTGGTCCAAAGTGGTCCCAGTAGTGGTAGGAGCATTCGGGGCTGTGACTCTGAAGCTGGGAGAGTGGCTCCAACAGATCCCAGGAAGAACCTCAGAGCTCCCTGTCCAGAAGAGTGCAGTGCTAGGAACAGCTAAGATACAGCGCAGAACCCTCAAATTCCCAGGCCTCTGGTAGAGGACCGAGATTGAGGAAGACACCCATAGGGGTGAGAGGGGATACACACACACACACACACACACACACACACACACACTACTGCAACATTCTAGCACAACGAGAAGGGGCAATCCTCAGATCTGTTCAAGATTAGTATCAGCTACAAACAACCTTGAGCTGACTGAGACACTTAGCAATGACTAATACTTGGTATACATGATGACCTTCCTTTTTTTTTGGCCAAAACTTTTTTTTGGGGGGCCACATATACACCCACCATGGATACAATGCCCATTCCACAGCAATGTCATAAAAGTTCCCTTTTTCTCATCAACATTTTCAGTTGCACTAGGAGTGACTGAACATT